GAGGAGCCCTGATGATCCTACTCTCCTACCTTTCTTCCTTCTGCAGCGCTGCAGCCTCCACACCACACAGTGAGACAGCTGGTCAGAACGCTCTCCATGTTGCTTCTCTAGAAGGTGGTGAGGATGGGTGGGGGCAGGTGGGCTCTCCTCATCCACCGCAGGAAGTAAATGTCTTTTGTGCCCATTTGACCAGTGAGGAGGTCCAGGTGAAGGCGTTAGAAGGTGTTTGTTGATGGCTAAATGCTTACTTACTTAGATATATTAGAAGCATGCGTGCGTATTTGATGCTTGTTAATATTCTGAACCAAAATAAATCCAAACAAAATAAATGTCATCCAAGTGTTGCGTAATCAAACCATTGTGAAAAGAAACCTCCTGCATGCATCCAATGGATAAGCTTATAAATCTTTGTACAATTCTTAACACTCAAAGGCTGTGCAAAGTAAATTTCACCATTTTTACCCATCTGCAAGGGTCAATAAGGTGGTTATGAGTAAAACTATATTTATTTTGCTTTGAGGAAATACCCGGTGAGAAGTTTTAGTGTAATCACGCTATCTCTCCATCTATATTTGTTTAACTTGGTTTCTTTTAACTAAAAAAACAAAAAAAAAACAAGTATGTTTTCAGCCTTTAATAGACATGAGCTAAACTTAAATCCATGAATTTACACTCATCCAGGAATTAATTCGTAAATTCATCATCATATTGTCATACATGTATTGCAGAGTAATTCCCCTGGATTAAATTCAAACTAAGGGCAGGTGTTTGTAACTTCAGCAACATGTTTTCCCGTCAGTATTGTCTCTGTCTATTAGACTGGTGGAGCTATTTGTTGTCAGCTGCGAGTAATTTAATCTCCATCCTGTCTGACACTAGTAATGACTAAATAAGCCTTTTTTCCTGACTCACAAAGCATCGCTGTTCTTTAGCAGAATCGTCCCATAAGATTCTGCTAATGATGTGACAAATGTTGAACTTGTGAACTCTGACGTGTTCTGAGCACGTCAAATGCAGATGCCACAAGAAAAACATGTGTCACACGTGAAGCCCTGTATTTAGCTGTCCTTCCCAGAAGAAGTGGACCAGATATGCTGTGTCACAGTGCGGGAAGTCGGGCATGGGTTCAGAAAGGGATTTGTCAGACTTTTCTCATCTTCCTCATCCCTGCTCCGGCGAGCTTTACCATTTTAAATGTATGAAAGATAAAGGGAATGAATAATGGAAGGAGTCTTATAGTTGTTTAATTATTAACTATGTATGAAAAAAAAATCCTTCAAAAAAAAAAAATACAATTATTTTAAGAAATTACCACATTTTTAAAATTATAAAAGACACAATGTGATGGAAGGGGTTAAATGATCGGTACCTTTCTCAAACATGTCATCCAAATACAAGTGACAAAGAGTGTTAGTTGAATTGTTTTTATATAGCTGGATGGGCTGCCTTTAAGTTCATCACTTTGTACTCCTGTTTCCTACCAATGCATCCATGTCTACTTCCATTTTCTGCCTCTCAGCAGTCTATTTTTATAATCCCACATTTAACCTGAGGTTTCTAGAATTTCTTAATTTTCCTGCTTTTGATAAGTATAGACTCTGCATCATATTCCTAAGTCAAAATATCACTGTTTCACGGTAATATGATTATAGCTCTATTTCTAAAATGAATTTAAAAAGAAAGAAGAAAAAAAAAATGAAATGCTTGCTGGATTTTGGGCTGATCTTCAGCATAATATCTACCATCATGGTGAAATATTTTTGTTAAATTTATTGTAAATAATGCAACCATTTTTTTTTGCATACTTAGTTACTTTAACACATTTTTTTTTCATGTTAGCAGGGTAGGACATAAAACAAGTGTGTTAAAGTAACTAAATATCATTAGGTAGATACCAAAAGCGATTTACGTTCTTTTTTCAGGTGGTAAAAGCTGTTTTTAGATGATAGATGTCATGCTGAAATTTTTCTCACTATACTTTTATGTGCAGAGTCATTCTTTCATTTTTGTCTCTTATATATAGAATCCATACATGCACAGGGATTGAGTATTTTCATCCTTTTACTTAAAACTGATTCACAAATCTAATTCACATTTCATCAACTCCAACATATCAACCTGTCTGCTTTATTAACACGGTGGTAGTACTTGTTTAACCAACTCCTAACACTAAAGGGAGCTTTTTAATTATAAGATAACACAAACATTACTTTTAATTTAGCCCTTGGTAATGCTCCAGAGGTGTTACATTGGAAAAAATTGAAATCTAAATAAGTCATTTTTTCTTAAAATAAGTGATTTTTTTATTGAGAAGATAAATGAGATACTTTGCCAATGGAACAAGGTAATTCACAGTTGAAATAAGAAAAAACAAATTAAACCCTTATTTTAAGGGTAAAAATACTCAGTCCATTGGCAAATCATCTTATCTACCTACTCAAATTAAAGGTAAATACACTTAATTTAAGTGTTGACTGATTTGTGGATGGTTTTTGCAGTGTATCATATTAGGTGTAATGCTTCCTCTGGCTGCTGCTCCCTGAATGCATGAAGACAGACCTTCATGAGGCCAAACTATTCCCTTCAGCCACCGTTTAAGCTGTAGAGCTAGCAGCTACAAAGGGGTAGGTGGTGGGAGGAGCCATGAAGCTGCAGTGACTCACAACCTGAGCTGAGCACTTTAATGATTTCTCTGATAAGTTTATAAAAATACTGATAAAACAGGGTGGAGAAACCATGACTTTTTCATTCCAGCGTTTACTGGGAAACCGGTAACTAATTTTTTTCAACGTTCCAAATGACCCCCACCTTTCCTCCTTCTATCCTTACCTCCTTCCTTTCTTCCTTTTCCTTCATATGTGGTTTCTTAATCCCTTTCTTTTCTCTTCTTTTTTATTTCTTTTTTTATCTCTATTTTTTTAATTATTGCTTAATTTGCTTTCTTTATTGCTTCCTACCTTTCCTTTCTTCCTTCATGTATCTCCTAGCCTAATTTCCCCATTGTTTTTTCATCTGTTCTTCCTCTCTGATCTTTCTTTGCTCCTACATTCCTTACTTCCTTTTCTTACAGTTTGTTTTTTTAAAGCTGTCCTGCTGTAAAAAAAATATACTATGATCACAGTGAACTGCAGTATTTTCTATTTTGTAATAAACTTTAAGAACTGTCGACTTTTTTTCTGGGATTTTTATTAATAATTTGGATAATCACAAGAAGGTTTTTTTTTCTCACCCAAAGTGGACACGTATTGAGGCAATATGCCTCCACAACTTTCCGAAAGTGCAGAATGGGAAAGGGACAAAATGTCTGGCAATTGTCTGGGTTTAAATGCCCAAGATTCATAGACTGCATTGAAATATGTTTATTAAAAAATAATAATAATGCACAATTTAGATGGGCTTGCAATTAAATGAATCCGACCATACTAGCATACTAGCACCAGGCTTTGTTCAGATTGGAAAGCACTCTGACACAATGCGGCACAGTGGCTCTTGAAGGCCCTGGATTATTCTATCATTATCAGTTGATCACATAAATCTGCTGGAGAAAGAAAAGTGTAAAGCTGGTTCATCATAGCCCATCCTGAAATGATCATATCAGCCGTAACCATTGATAAATGAATGAATAACATTGACAAACTTCTTATCTGATAATGAAAGGGATTAATCAGGGAGCAGCTTAGGAGCATCTACTATGCTGACTCCACAAACCTGATGAAAATACCCTGGAACCAAATGAACATTGCTAGCACTGTTTTAGCATGAGCTTAATAGAGATTATGTGTAGATCTGGACCCACTCATCCTAACCTATCTTATCCAACACTTACCGTAACTCAAATCACCTCCAGTAAAGACAATGATTTCTGACTCAACTTTGGCTTTGAATTACAATAATCTTAAAACATGCTTTTCCCAGGTCAGCATCACAACCTGAAAGGTAAGGGATCATAAATCTAAATGATAATTTTATTGTCAGATAAAAGATTATTAAATAATTCTTAATCCAGACTCTTCAAGTATCCTTTATTTTCAATGGGAACATATTATAACAGTAGACTTTATGCTTGATTAGAGTATCGTTCATTTTGTTTTCCGCGTCCCTATAATTTAGCTTCGGACACTTTTCTTTTATAAGGTTTTTGGAGGGTAGAGTTCATTAAAAGGCTTGATGATGATTCAACCTATTATTGGTATGGGTTCAATGTTTGGGCTAGATCCATATGGAACTCCTTATATCTGAAAAGTATTGATAGAATAGACCAAAAATCAGGAGAATTTTTCCACCAGATTCAGCTCCTGTTTGTCGGACTGGATTTAATAACACGGCTGACTCAAGTTTCAGCTGTTTACCTCTCAGAGAGGTGCAGCTCAGAGGTTCCTTCTTGCCCTGAAGCTTTGTAGTCTGTGTGATTTATGTCAGTTGAGTGGGCTGCAGATCAGGTGGCCACGTCTATCACCTGGACTGTGTTTCCTTCTGCTCAGAGAGTCATCCCACCAACACCTGGCCCTCTCACTCTGCTCCAGTGGGGGCGATTCCGCCGATATTGATTGTTACCAGAGCCTCACACACTTCATGCACGTGTGTGTGTTTCTGCGGTGCTCGCCTGCACGAATGCACACCTGCATTTGAGTGCATATCCTTCTCTCTGTTTTCCATACCGACTAATCAGAGATGAGATCTGTGCTGAAAACATCTGGATCTGGGTTATACTCAGGAACTCCACCTTTCTATCACTTACAGGCAAAGAGAAGAGGAACAGACCTTTTCAGAAACACTCAGACTCTTATTGTTCTCTTGCATTTCTTTTTTGTGGTTGTAAATGAATTCCTCATGATTGGAATAAAAAAATATGGCTCTTCTGGTTCTCTTTTGGTTTTATGTCCCATCTGAACGTTAAGCTGCTTGTGTCTATCAGCTTGTGTCACATGTTAACCCATGATGAACCGTTGGGGTTTTTTTTTTTTTGGTTCAACCAACTGAGCGGCATTTTGTTTTCCCAGGCTCTGCTAGAAAAGGTGGAAAACCTGCAGAGACAGCTGCACTGTGCGGAGAAGAAGCTGCTCAGCAAAGAGCTGGAGTCAGAAGAGAGGGTAAGGAACCTGTTTGTCGTTTTCCTTCAGTCTCTTCTTTTCCATTCTTTTCAGCAGGCATTTGCTGCTTGCTGTCATCATTGCATCACTCTTTTTTTTTTTTTACTTTGCCTTCAGCCTTTTGCATCACAGCCTTCAAATTCTTCTTGATCATGCAGCCTTTTCTGTTGCTCTTAAAACCCGCCCTTTAACACCTCTTTTTTTTCCTGCTTTATCACTTCATGTTGCAATCCCCTCTCTTCTGATTTACTATTCAGAGTTGGTCCTCCAGGGGGCCACAAAATAAAAACAACATATGTTCTTAGCCTTTTTCCTCCCCTGCCCTCTCCCACCTACAACCTCTTCTCTCCTGTTCAGTCAGCGATATGCCCCCTTGCACATTTCCCAAATTCCTTGAGATCTGGCCTCAAGAGCCAGCGCCTAGAGCCAAGAATGCCACCACTGCCTGTGTTCAAAAGGGACGCTCTGGTTCACACACACACACCCCGTGGCTGTGGAGATTGCCCTGTAATCAGGCTATGTTTTGACCTTGACACACACAGAGAAGAAAGAACTAATGACTGTGCTCAGGCAGGAGGTTGGTCTTTGTACTGCGGTATGTACACCAAAGGCATCGGTTCCCCCCTGTTCCCTCTGATCCACCCTCTGACCCTTGCACACACTTCACACAGTCCTTGCACGTCTCCCTGTCTGGCCGCCATAAATTGAGCTGATGGCGCTCACTTGTCCTCCGGAGCCACTGCTCCACACCTTGTTGTGCTACAGGGTATCCTTTATGTTTATTGCAAGGTTATCTAATCTTTCTTTCTTTAAATTGTTTCATATGACGCCTCGCTAAAGTACTCATACCTCTAATAGAACTGAGATGAATTCCACCACAAGGTGCAATTTAAAAAAAAATCTAGTAAATGTGGCCCCTTTACTTTCATACCTCTAAATAAAACCAGTGAAACAACTGGCCGTTAAAAGACCCCAGATTGATGGAGTGTAGCGGTGTGACCCACTTATGGTCAGCAGAATGTTTTTCTTTATCTTAGACAGATTGACTTAGACGGCCAGAAGAAACCTTTTCCTTTCTGTTTTTCCTGGTGCCAAAATCCGCTCCATCATGATTTCATCATGTCGAAGCAAAGTCTGAGTAAACAACTCAACGAACGTGACCAAGCCTTTGGTTCCACTTTTAGGTTGTGAACAGCTCATGATTCACCGCTTTGAACACGTTTCATTAATCTGCTGCATATTTTCTTTCTCTCACATTTGCTGCAGAGATATGAAGAGAGAAAAGACTATGAACAAAAAAAAATGTCTGAATCACTGGTTGGTGTGTATTTACAGCAAATCTCTCTTGCAGTGTGTGTTTTAGTTGGTAGTTAAGCCCTCATCAGTCCATGTACATTAATAGTTGAGGGCACTCTGATTTGCCTTTTCTTCCTCACTCACATATTGCTCTTGTTTATCTGCCAAATGTATCTTTTGTAATCTGATCTCTGGTCTGCTAATGCAGCTTTCCTGCCCAGACTTCACACAGATGTTGCTCGCCGTGCTCTAACTGGGGCCCTCGCCTCTAGAACGCCATCTCCTCAGCCTGCTGCATGGTTGATCTCTCCTTGAAGATGGTGGCCTAGAGAGGGCAGGTCTTTGTGTGAATAACTGAAGACAGGGCTGGCAGTTAAAACTAAAAGTTTCAGAGATCCCTCTCCCAGCAACAGATGTGTTTGCTTTTCCTTATATATATATATATATATATATATATATATATATATATATATATATATATATATATTACTGCAGTTTTCTGTCCACAAATGTTTTCTGTATACAGATTATTCATTCTTTTGTTGTTTTCATTCAAGAACATCACATCAGCTGGCAGCAGTCGGTCCTTTATTCCTCTATACAGTCTGGAAAAGTCTGGATTTTGATTGATAGTTTTTACATGTCTGGATAAGCATGAAAATATTAGTATATAGTATAATATTAGTATATTAACACAACAGACGTTATTTTTTTTGTCATCTAACTCTTATCCCTTTCCTTTCTTTCATGCATTTGTCTTTGCTTCCTTGTATCCTTGCTGCGCTCATTACTCTACAAAGTTTTTCATTCCTTCCTTCTTTTGCTTTTGCTCTTCCCTTCCTTCCTTGATAAATCTTTAGACTCCTTTTTACTTTGCTCTCCTTCCTTCCTTCCTTCCTTCCTTCCTTCCTTCTGTCATATTTTTGTTGTGTCTTAACCCCTTTTTCTTTCCCATCTTTCTTCCATCCTTGTATCATTCCTTATTACATAATTTTCTTGCATGTCTCCTTCATTTTTTAATCCTTGACGACTTTTCATTTTCATCTCATTTCTTTCCTTGCTTGTTTCCTTCCCTCTATTTACTCCATTTAATCTTTGTTCTCCTTTCTTGTCTTGCTTTCCTCCTCCTTATGTTCCTTTTCTCCAGTCCTTCTTTGCTTTCTGTATTTCCTCCATCTCTCCTACCATCTTTCATCAGTTTCCTTTCTTCTTTTTTAATATCTCTCCTTCCTTCCTTCTTGTGTCCTCTACTCCCACTCTCACCTTGTCGCCATATTTACAGCCTTCTCAATGTATAATGTATATCAGCCATAAACTGATACTGAATTTTATGCACAATATTTTAAAATGAATATAGCTCACTGGGAATTCTGGGAAGTAGAGTCAGTAATAGTCTGAAATTTGTATTTCTATAATGTATGGGATCCCTATATTACTGTATTGAGATGTGTGGCTCATTCTAGGCAGCATTCATTTTCATCTCACAGCTAAACGTTTTTTAATCCTGATCACTCTTCTAAACGCTCTGAGTTCCAACTCTAGTTGCCAAGGTGCAAACTTGCCGAACGCTGGCGTTTTAGATGTACCCTCTTGTTTCTGACAAGGTTTTCGTCACCTGGGAACAATACATGTAATAATGACTGCCTCCCCTCCCCTCACAATTTGTTTCATCCACACACACCAGCCTCATTAGCATGCATCAAGCCTCTCCAGCGATGTGACAAACTTCATTTGAACGTTAAAGGTGTTTAGGGCTTGTTCCGTTCTGCTGGCAGCTGTCACAAACCATGCCGCGTGACGCCGCTAAACATGAGAAAAAGTCAAAACCGCAATCTGAGGACTATATATAGATGAAAAGTTGTCATTTTAAGATGACTGGGAGGGGAAAACGACTGCTGCTTACAGTTTTCAAAATGGGACTTCATCAGGAACAAACAAAATCACATTTTTTTTATAGTCTGCATGGATCAAACTTGATTTGTCTTTAGAAAGAGAAAATAGTGGCACAGTTTTTTTGTTTTAAATGTGTCCCCTCTCCTCTGTTCTCCTTTCTCTCCTTTCTGCTCACATCTGGAGTCTGTCAGTGACCAAGCCCTCGTGACGGGTTTGATCAGCAACGTTGTTCAAAGACATTTCACTTTTTCTGCAATCGCTGAGGAGCATCCCCCCCCCCAGATGTCATCACACGTCTCTTTCTGCCTGTCGGGAAAACAAACATGCCTTTGCTGTAAAAAAGATGTTGAAAGAAAAAAAGTGTGCTTGCATGAAAGAAGAAGAGAGATGCAGAGGGAGGACCCATGGAAGAGAATGCAAAGCTGCAGGAGCGTTGTCTTTGAAAAGAAACAAGTCAGCCGTCTTTTGGGAAGTCAGATGCTTCTGTTTTGCATGTTTAACTCCTTGGAGAGTGTTAGCCAAGCACAGGTTCAAACAACAGAGATATTGTTATGACAGACTGCTGCTTCTCCCCACATGCTCTGAGTTAGATGGTCAATAACAAAACTATGAGTGTCTGCGAGGAGGGCCGCAAAACTATTTCCTGTTTTGCAGTTTTTCACTATTTTTTTCCTCAGATGTCATTTGATTGATCACCATTCTGATTAAGTTGGAAGGACAAGGAGGAACTGCTTTTCTATTTTTTATCGAATAGATACAAAATACAAAAAACGTATGTCCATTTTTTTCAACCCCATTTGCTTCAATTCCTTTAAACGGAACACAGTCCATCCAGTTACTACCTGTGTAATTCATTCCCAGTGTAACTAAGGCTTTTCTGTTAAGGCCTCTTAGGTTTTTTATTAGGTTTAGTGAAGAAACATCATTAAGACAAAGGAACAGATCAGGCAGATCAGGTAGAAATGTCCAATGTAAAGCAAATTAAGTGAGAAGATAATATCCTTTTCTTTTTCTAACATTCAGGCCATCATCGTTGTTTTGATGTACAGATTATGGCCCATTAATCAGAGATGCAGCCAACAGAACCTTAGTAACTAGAGGAACTGCAGAGATTAAATATTATCTACATTCAAAAGTGGCAGAATACAAACCCCCTCCACTGTGAAACATGGAAGTGGATCCATCATGCTGCGGGAATATCTTCCTTTGCACTAAAAGGGAAAGCTGAGCAGAGTTAAAGGAAAGATGGATTGAGCTAAATACACAAAAATGCTTAAAGAGAAGTAGTTAGAGTCGGAATATCTTCTTACTGCTCATGTGCTAGAATTACTTAGTTCAAGTCTAGATTAGAAAGCCAATTTACTGAAGATAAACCTGTATAGACTTATGGAGTGTACAGAAGACTTAACAGTTATATTTTTGTTTTGTTTTTTATTTAAAATGCATCCTTATGTTTCCACAGATCTGCACTAACAAAGTGCAGTATCATCTGTTTTTATAAGTGAGAAACAGAAAAAAATTGTCAGTGTCTCTATATATACTTAACAGGACAACGTACAGTATGTGATCCGCTTCCCCCTGCAGCTTTGTGAATATACTGTTGGAGCCTCCCTCATTCCAATGTATGTATGGGGCAGAAGATGGAGACAGCATTGCCACAAGAGAGCTTATAATTTAGCCCAAGCGGACCTCTCATTGCTGCGGTGGCGGCACCATACACGAATCAAGAATGCAAAACTAAGGAGCCGGGCTTTTGAAGAATCTGAGACTTGTATTCAGAGCGGTTGGACGTGTTTATTCAACCATTGTTTATTGCTTCGGTCTGAGGCAGTGAAGTATGTTTTGTCTTGGCCTTCCATTCTGTTATGACTACAGAAGCTGCTATAGATAGAGATAGTCGTCTTAAGGACGTTAAAATTAAAGCTTCTACAACCTGTTTTTTTTTTGTTGTTTTTTGTTGTTTAAAAAGGTTGCCTTTTAAACCGTTCCCGACCTCATTCTCACACAACAGGAGAAAAATAACATATTTTCTAAACTGATGGATTCCTAACCCACTGTAATTGCTCCAACACTTTAAAATGAATAGGTTTGAAAGGAGGCTGGAGAAATTGGCAAAGTTGTGCCAGACTAATCTGCTGCACACTGTGCCGAGACAAAGTGAGCTGCCTCATGTAGGGATCATTTATACCAAGGGTTGCTTTGAAGTGCTTCCCCAATCCCTTTCATTGTGCCCAGGAAGATTAATTAGCCAAAGCCAGAACAATCAGTTAAATCCACAACAGGAAGATTATTTTAGGGGAGCAGATCTATTTTATTTTTTTAAACCCTCCCCCCATCACTTTATTCATGCTCTCCTCACTTGAAAGAGCAGATTGGGCTTCGGCTGGACTCTGGCTTTGCCACACACAGACTCTCTCCCTGGTTGCACCTTAAAATATGTGGATGAAAACTGTCCCCCCCCCCTTACTTTTAATGCTTTGAGCTGTGTTAAAGCGCTCATCGAGCTCTGAATTAATTGATTCAGACACTCTTTAGAATGCTATAAACTCCTTTTACAGTACCGTAAAAAGCTCAGTTTGTGCATGCATGTCTGCAGCGTGTATACCAGCGCTTCCATTCATGTGTGTTTGTGGGTAAGAAGTGGGGGTTGCACTAACCAAACCCTTTTCAACTTCTATAATCAGACTCTGGTTTGGCAGAGTGTAATTTAGCCCCAGACAGACTTCCTCCAGTCCTCCCCAGTGGAGATAGCTCTCTGGCTATGAGCTGCCGCTGCTTTTCATGTCATCCGTCCTCTTCCAAACCCTCGTCAATGCTTTGTACGTCAGATTCAGTGGCCAACAACCGCTGGGTGGGGGGGGTTGTCGTATAGAGCTGGGTATGCCAACCCTGCTGGACCCCCTGTAGGGATGTGAAGGAGCTGTGAAAAGCAAGAAAACTAAGAATAAAGAGGGGAAACCCTCAGTGCGTGTGCGTGACCCTCCACCAAGTCAGCTGCTGCTTGGCTTGCAGCACCTTGGAGTCAAAGGCAGGCAGAAACACTTACTCAGCAGGAACACTGTCAGATTAATGATTTACAGGTCCTAAAGACGTAGAATATCATCAAAAGTTCATCTGATGCAGGATCTCAGTTCAAAGACTGGGACTCATATACTCATACATGTAATTGGTTTATTTTTTGTTCTATTTAATTCATAATGGCTTACAGTAAAGAGAGTCTGCATAACTAATTTTCTAAACTTTTGAACAATCATTACAAAGTCCATTTTAAAAACAGTAATGTTAGGCAGACATGTTGGTCTCCAAAGTCACATAAAATATATTCTTCTGCAGACAGTTCATAGAATGGTAAAGGAGCTGTTTGTTCAGAGCGGTTTTACCCGCATATTAAGGGAAAGTTTAGTGGAAGGAAACACTTAAAATGAATGCAGAAGAATTTTGAAGCAACATATGTGCTTTACCCTTAGCTTAAAGAGCTAAATCACACACAGACACGACATTACACGATTTACACCAGTTCAGCTTCTGCTAATTGTTGTCCAGAGAAAATGTCAGACATCTCTGTTAGGACCTAAGGAGAATATTGTCTGAGATGTTGCTCAAGGGTAAAATATTCATTTTTTGTTTGTTGAAAGTAGATTTTTACAATGTATTTGTGAAATAAGAGTGGAGAGGCACACAATCATAATAATGTGGGCTCCTCAACACATTCCATGCACCTAACAGGTCTGACGCAGCAGTTCATGCAGAAGGAGCTGCGAATAACTTTGAAGTATGTTTATTGAATTGTAATAGTACATACTTTTAAAAAAGGCTGACAGGTTAAATAAAATCTCCCCTTCTTATTGATTTTTAAATTCAATTCTGATTTTCAGAGGAAGAAGTTTTAGTGAGCTGTAAGCCCTAATTATTAAGGAGCTGTTGCTAAAGAAGCCGTTTGTTCACAGAGTGACTTTAAAATGCTTTAAATATATCACTCTGCTTGTAAGAGTTAAATAAGTTCAAATTTTAAAGTTGATTTAGTGAAATCAATTTCATTTTTTAGGGATCCTCTGATTTTGATCGTTGCACCTTTCTCTCATTTACATTAGCATCTTTTTTTGTTTGCTATTCTGGAATGTTTCTGCACATTTTTATTAAAAAGGGATTTTTCCTTCCCAGGTGACGAAGGTGCATCAGGAGTACGAGGAGAAGATCAAAGGTCTGATGCCAGCAGATCTCAGGCAGGAGCTGGAAGACACCATCACCTACCTGAAAGCTCAGGTGAGAAATTATTTGGTGAAAATAAATAAAATTCTGCATAATTCTGCTGAATCTTATGTCAATATTTTCATGCATTGCATCACAGCTTCTGGCAACAATCCTTTGGCGGTGGTCCATTGCTGTACATTTGAAAGTGTTTTTTTCTGTTTATTCTGTTTTTTTATAGAAGCTCAGCCTCTAAATGCCTCAGGGCTGTTTTTTTAGAAGCCTTTTTCCCTAAATATTATCACTGGTTGACAAGTCTGGATTTCTCTTTTTATACGTGACCACAGAATCACTGGCTGTACAGAACATGTTAATATTGATACAGCGCCTTGCAAAAGTATTTGTTCTTCTTGAACTTTTTGACCTTTTGCAACGTTTAGGCTTCAAACATAAAGATATAAAATTCTACTTTTTGTGAAGAATCAACAACAAATGAGACGCAATCATAGGTGAAACATTTATTGGAAATTTTAAACTTTTTAAAAAATATATAAAAACTGAAGCCCAGGGTGTGCAAAATGAATTGCCCCCTTTACTTTCAGTGCAGCAAACTCTCTCCAAAAGTTCAGTGAGGATGATAAATGGAATCCAACTGTGTGTAATCAAGTAAATGCACACCAGGCAGGTCTCAGCTGCTGTTGTAGAGATGTTTAAACCTGGATTTGGATCCAAAAAGATTTGCCAAGCTTTAAACATCCCAATGAGCACCGTGCAAATGATAGTATTTAAATGGAAGGAGTATCAGACCACAGCGAATCTAGGAAGACCCGACCGTCCCTCTTAAAGTTCAGCTGAAACAAGGAGAAGACTTTTTTTTTATTGTGTTGAAACTGTTTCTATTGCACTTATGGAAACCACTTTGGTTCAGCAGATGCTGTTGTAAAGCACTATATAAATAAAGATTGATTGATTGATTGATTGATTGATTGATTGATTGATTGATTGATTGATTGATTGATTGATTGATTGATTGATTGATTGATTGATTGNATTGATTGATTGATTGATTGATTGATTGATTGATTGATTGATTGATTGATTGATTGATTGATTGATTGATTGATTGATTGATTGATTGATCAGATATGCAGCCAAGAGGTCCATGTTCACTCTCGGTGAACTGCAGAGATCTATAGCTGGGGTGGGACACTCTGTACATAGGACAACAATCAGTCGTTTACTGCACAGACCTGACCTTTATGGGAGAAAGCCGTTTCTGAAAGATATCCATTAAAAGTCTTATTTAAAGTTTGCTACAAGCCACCTGGGAAACACAGCAAACATGTGAGAGACGGTTATGTTTTGTGTAAAAGCAACACAGCTCATCACCCTGAACACACCATCCCTACTGTCAAACATGGTGGTGGCAGCATCATGGTTCGGGCCTGTTTTTCTTCAGCATGGACAGGGAAGATGGTTAAAATTAATGGGAAGATGGATGGAGACAAATACAGGAGCATTCTGGAAGAAAAGAGTCTGCAAAAGACCTGAGACTGAGACAGAGATTTATCTTTCAACAAAACAGTGATCCTAAACATGAAGCAAGATCTACAATGGAATGGTTCACAAATAAACATATCCAGGTGTTAGAATGACCAAGTCAAAGTCCAGACCTGACCAGAATCTGTGGAAAGAACTGAAAACTGCTCTTTACAAACGCTCTCCATCCAACCTTACTGAGCTAAAAACTTTCTGTCTCTTGTTGTGCTCAACTAATAGACATACCCCAGGTGGCCTGCAGCTTTAATTGCAGCAAAAGCTTCTCTACAAAGTAATAACTGAAGGAGGGTGAATCATTTTGCACAATGATTTGTCTTTTTTTTTATTTGTTAAAAAAGTTGGAAATTATCCAATAAATTGAATTCCACTTCATGATTGTGTCCCAGTTGTTGAAGCCTGAAATGTGGCAAAAGGTCAAAGTTCAAAGGGGATGGACGCTTTTGCAAGGCATTGTAAAGCAGCGTTTCAGAAAGCAGACAAAATCTAAAAAACATCAAGAATAAAACCGCATTAACTTGTTGAAAATTCCGCCTGCATGAGAAAGTTATCTAATTACATATGACTTAACAGCACATGCAGCTGCACTGCATGCAACCATTTTCTTCTGATTGTCTTCTAAAAATGTGAGCAATCGTGATCAAATCTGAATCATCTGATAAACAAAATTCGATCTTTAATTCCAAAGACTATTTTTCATTCATTTTGTACCTAATGATCAGTTAAAACAACCTAAAGCTTGTTTTTTATATTAAAAAAAAAGGCTATTTTAAATATGTTAACAAATAAAGTCTTCTGTAAACTAAGAAAACTGTCAAAGTCTCTAGATTATTACACATCAAAATATGGTTTTCTGAATTTATAACAGTCTATAAAGTAATTGGACCATATGACATCAATCAAAGTGATCTTACTGACCTATTATCAGATTTCCAAGGTGTTCAGTTCTGAAATGTAGTGAAATCAGTCCATCTTACTGCAGGTAGCCGTTCACTGTGCCTCCTCTGTCCGTCGTCCCCTCACCACCATCACTTACTGCTGATTGAAGTTCTGTCCTGTCAAAGGTCTGCTCCTGATGTTTGAAATATATTAAGATAATCTGTTTTTACATTGGAGCCAAAATTGATCATTGTTATTCAAAGAACCCGGGGAGGCCATTAGCAAATGCACTGAACATAATAATCTACCTCGCTCATAGTAGTTAAATCTCTGCTTCAGTGGAGGACAGCTTTGGTCTGAGATCATTTATTCTGCTTCTGTATGTGCAGTTAATCAGAGCGAGGGATCAGATCCTTTCACACATTTATCTTGTTGTAAACAGTTTTGTTTTTGACAGCCATCTTAGATGTAGTCTTAGTCTTCAGGACGAAAACTATCACTAGTTTTAATTGCATTTTCGTCATTACGATATGTGATAGTTTTAGTAGGTTTTGTGTTGCAAAAACAACCAGATTCTTTACCAGACTGACAGCTCTAGCATAGATAGTACAATAGCTGGGTATAGAATGCTGCCGTGCAGTTCATCATTGCTGTTGGGCAGAAAACTTTGATTTATAGAATTCAAATAAACTTTTTATGAATTAATGACCCACTTTATACAAAAGTGTCTCACAAAAGCTGTGAAAACAGCAGATCTACTTCAACACATCATATTTGTTAATATAGCAGACAGACAAGCTAATAAAATGTACAATAAAGGAATGGTTTTAGACATAAAAGGTTTCCATCCCAAAGCAAACACTTCCTGATCTACTATGAATTATGCATTACACATAGGTCAATAAAATCTTCGTTGCTCCAAGAAACAAAGAACAAAAACACTCTTCTTTCTACTTTGGCAATTTTGGCTTTATTTCTTCAATTTACCCCTTGGTTACCAAGAGATTTATATTCGTAGGGTTTTGATATAATAAAAAAAAAATACAGAGAGAACCTACATAATTGCTTTGTAATTCTATGGCAATCCAGACCTAAATTGAATGAATATGTTAACTAATATGTTGACATATTTAAAGGAAACAGAGAAAATGTTTTAATGACAATACAAGGAAACATTTACATCATATTTAAATAGATAGAAACGAGAACAATGAGAGAGAAATATTCAAAGATCTATGTACCTTTTTACCTGACTCTTTCTCCAAAAATGAACAGAATGCAATTAAATATTATTTTTGGATATAATTAAGGGATTCCTTTTGGTAGAAATGAAAGAATGTTTAGCATCATCTCTTGTGAGCTGGAAGAAATAAAATCTTGATAGTTGGACAGAAGAATTTTTTACACTTGGCAGAGGATGATCAGCCACATATAGGTAGTTTGTTAAGTAGGAAGAGCAGGAATTTCTGCACAAGCACAGCTGGAAGAACAGTTTGTCAGAGTTCAGCGTGCAGTACAGATCTTCTGTCAGAAACCTGGAATGTTCTGGATTATTTCAGGTCCATGATCCATCTGTGGTCAGGCAGAATCTGCACGTCGCAGCAGATTACAACACAATGATGCATTTTAATTGTCTCACAACTACCCGCTATTTTTTATTTACTCTCGTCTGGTTGACTAAAACTCACACCCATAACTCTCAAGTTTTTCGTCAACAAAGGTCCATGTTTAGCTCGTCAGTTTTCATTATCGTCATGAAAAAAAAGGATCCTCAACGAAATAATTTTATCATCCTCATCGTTGATGAAAACAGCACTGGTTCCAACTTAATCTAAATGAGTCTGTTTTTAATCATTTTGATGTAAATCTGTTTCTTTGAAGCATTATTTTTTCCAGTTTTGACGAGGAGCTGTGACTCTATAGTTACCTTGTTTGATCAGGGCTCTGACACGTTTTACATGGATAGTTAAACCTAAGGACCTCTTCTCAGTGTTTACTCTGTGAATAATTTAGCTAATAAGAGCTTCCAGGCTAAAAAGGTTTCATGTTATACCCGCTCCTTGTTTGAATCTATTTCAAAGATCCCTTTTCAGCACAAAAACGAAAGTGCTGTGATCAGAAATGTTTATAAAGTGTAATCCATGACCAGAGCTGCCTCTCATATCATACACAGCATTTTGAGTTAATACACACTAATGTGTTGTTTTGGAGTAGAGAAGGGGGGAAAAAAGCAGGTATGTAGAGTTTCTGTGTCTCAGGAGGATTGCAACCACATCTTGGGAGAGTTTTGCATATATTTAAAATGAAACACTAGAATTCAAGCTGAGGTCTCCCCCACTAAAGGAATGCACCCTCGCCTCCAGTACGCACGTCCCAGAACAATACAGATTCTTCTGGAGCTGTGATTATTCTGCCAGGCGCTGGATGCCAAGTAAATGTAGATGGGGGTTTATTTTCACTTCAGACTAAAGCTGCACTTCATAAATAAACTTACAATTTGTAGCCAAACAAAAGAGCAGTGCTGCCTCCTCTCACAGTGGCCAAACTCTCTGCTAACCCAGGCCCATAATGTGCCCTGTGGTCCCAGTGTGCTTTAACCCTGCTGCCCTGATCTCCTGACCCCTCGGCCCCTGCTGTCTTGACCCCTGGACTTAACAAGCAGCCTTTTCTTCCACTCTCCCTATTCAGCTACCCAACACCAGCAAAAAGCACATCTAGCTTGACCAATCCAGCCTTCTCTGCCTCAAACCAGTCTCCTGCTTCCTTCTCTCTGTATACACCAGCAGCCCATCTTCAGGTGGGCTGCACCATGTTTTACATCTCGCGTCTGTCTTTGCTGTAGGTCGGCTTCCTCCAGAAGACGGCCTCTTTGCTACAGGAAGACCTGGATGCCTGTCGCAACAGGAGGTACAGAATGCAGAATCCTGTTTATTTACTCTGGAGATGCAGCTTTCCATAAAGATTTGTAGCTATTTTAAACTTTTCTGATATTTGCTGCCAATGAATGTGATAAAGAGCTAATAAGACCTAAATATAAAAAGAGATACCAGGACTTCTCTACAGTTATTATTTTTGATCAGCCATTAACTACAGCAATCCACAGTTTTTTTTAAGGCCGATACCGATTATCTGCATCAGTTAAACTGATCCCTGATATGTGCCAATTGTTTGGGACCGATTCTTTAAACCAATATCTCATGGTATGTTGCTGTAATATGACCTTTACATGTCAAAATGAAACAGTTAGCATCTTTTGTTATTGTTGTTGCTCAATTACAAGTATCAGATTAGAAAAGTTTATAGTTCAAGTTACTAAATTTCGTTTTTTTTACTTTTTCAAAAAAAGTAGAAATGCACTAAATGCATTTTTTTTTTTTTTATGAGTTATGATGTTGTGAATGTTTTCCCCACTCGACTGATTAGCTGTTTCCACCGCCACTGACATCTGAAATGCTGCATTAGAAACACATTTCTCTCTCAGCATCTCCAGGTGGCATAAACCATCACTAAGACTTGCTACCATGATAAAATAAATACGAATTACCCAATTGCAAAATAATTATTAAAAGCTCTGTGTTCTGCGCTACAATGATGACATTATGCTTTGCTTGGCCTTGTTTATTCGCTCAAATTGGTGGAAACATTCTTTTTTTTTATAATACATTTGATTTAACAGCGCCTTTCTGGACACTCAAGGTCACTTTACAAAAAATAAAAATAAAAATGAAAATACAAATACAGGAACATAAAAACAGTTATGGATAGGGACAAGAGCAGTTTATTAAAAAATAAGCAAAATGGAACAGATGGGTTTTGTGTCTGGCTTTTACTACTTTTAAAAAGTTTGCTCAATATTTGGATCATATTTGGATGGAAACATGGCTAACCATAAAATATCGAACACTATTCTTAATTCAAACAAAAACAGCAGTTATTAATAAATCAAAGAAAACATTAACAATGGATATCAAATGCAGGGGGAAACATTGCTTCGACACATGATCGGTTGATTTTGTTACAAAAAAAAACAAACGCTTTTATCGGCCTAAAAGTATCGGCTGGCCGATGTATCAGAGTATGTTGTAAAGTGACTCTTTTAGATTAGACTCTGAGGAATTTTCGCACCCCCACATCACAATTCTTTCGCCAATGTGCTCAGGCCAATGTAGAAACAATCCTTTTGGTCTACGGTAATCTGACTACAGAATAAGTGGCAGCAAACTGCAAATGTGCCTTTTTAGTCAGCAGTATCACTGTAAAAGAGGCTTATAACCAATTCCTACTTTCTGAATTTATTTTCCTGCTCTTTTGTCTGAGCCTGTGCCATAAATAATAAATAAATTCTATTGATGTTTGTGCTTCTAATGAGGTAAATTGAGGATTACTGTTTATTTCTGTTTAGTTGGGTATTTTAAAGCAATGCACTTGTAAAGGTAAACATCTGTCTGCATCTGTTTGTGAATAATAATATTTTCTTTTTTGATGTTCTTTTCACAGGTAACGGTATAAATGAAGACATTCTGGGAGAAGAAGGATGATATTTTCCAGTAAAAGTGAGCATTGTAGTTCCCTCTCATTAACACTCCACTGGGCCAGTCATCTTTACGTTTAATGCCCTGCTTTACCCTCGTGGCATATAAAATATTTATTCTAGTTGTTTTTATTCTTGTTTCAGTGTAACATTTTTATTGTCCAGCTAAAGTGTTCGTTTATTCGTTTTTTTTGTGAACTGCTGGATGTTATTTTATTTTTTTTATAAAATCATTTGTAATAAAAACACTTTGCATCATTTTTGGTCATACTTTTTTTTTCCCTCCTCATTCTTCGCTTGTTTTTTCATCATCTTTAATCGATTTCTTTAATCTGAGGAAGTCGTGCTGTTCCCTCTGACCACAGAGTGTGTGTTAACCAAGATTAGGCTGTAACAAGAGTCAAAGACCTTGAATTCCCATCGCCCCCCATAATTATTTTACATCGGGTCTGTGTCCAGACCCTCGTTTGGAGTGCAGAGAGCAGCCAGGGGTTTGCGGTCGGCTCGGATAACGCGTGCTGTGACTAGATTGCTTAGACCTCAGGTTGAGGGTGAAGCCACAGGCCTTGATGTTTCCGTTTCAGCCAACATTTCGTGTTTTATCCTCTGTCCCACTTAAGGATTCACATATCAAACCAAAGTCCTCCCACTTTTTTTATTATAAGTCAGAAAATACGATAGAGGATTATGATGATCTCCTGTCAGTTTGTGTATTCGATAGATGCTGCAGCTTGAATGCTGATCATTTTCAAAGCCTCCTGGTATTTTTTTTCCCTCCCTTGAATAAAATTTAAAGCTGTTATTACATTCCTGAATCAGTTTTGATTTCAGAGGCCTCCACACTTATTTGCATTGGAATTGCTTTCTTTTTGCGCCCACACTTCACGTGTATCCATTGTCCGTGACCTGCTTTGCCGTCTCCAAAGCAAACATGTTTCCCCTCTCCGTGTTTATTTGATGTGCTGATTTTTGCTGCCAATGCAGAGAGGAGAAGAAGAACAGAGAGAGGTCTGTCGGACCAACATCTGAGAAGCTGAAGTTTAGTCATTCAGGACCAAAGCCTTTGTTGACGCTGTTGTTCCGGCAGAAGGTGCAGAGGAGTCATTACTATTGCAATGTTACATCTAAGCTGCTTGCTCATTTATAAACATCTAAAGACATGCATGCGATGTTTTTTATAAATATGTACCGGCTCCGTGGCTTTGCTGCACATAAAGGCCTCTGTCTCAATAGAACCAGTTTTTTTTTTTTTAACAAGTTGTAAGATCAGAGCAGGTTCTGCTGTCGACTTTATCTGTAGAAGCTTGGAGGTGCAACATCTCTACTCCTTTCTTTGCAATATTATCCAAACCTTCTTTCTTCTTGTGCTTCAACCATCTTTGTCTTTTGACGTTTGTTTTTACTATTAACTAGAGACTGAAACTGCAAACATGACTTCCTTCCGCTATATTCTATCTACTCTGGCCAGCTTTCCTGTTCCGGTGGAAGAAAAGCATCCCCTGGCATTATGCTTCCACCACCATGTTTCACCACAGGGATTATGTATTCATGAACATCCAGTCTAAACTCTTAACAGGTTGTCTTCAAGGGTTCTCCTGTGCTTAGCTCCATCCATCCTCCCATGGTCTGAGAAGCTTCCCTGTCTCTTACTTAAGGAAAGTGTTCCCACTGCATGATGCTGTGTGTTGTTCTCCAAATCTAAAAGCATGATGCTGAAATATGCCTTTTTCAAGGCAAGTCATCATTTATGAGGTTATTCTGCGCAGTCTTGGTACTGTGCTTCCATTTATTAACTAGATTAGCATTATTTATCCTTTAATAACAAAGGCTTCAAGATCTCCTAGAATGATTTTTAAAAAATATTTGAAGCTTTTGTTGAACTGACAGTTAAGATATTTTCTAAAAGGCATCAAGAAATAAATAAATTCAGGTCATCATTTAGGATCATCTGTGCTAGAAGTTCCACATCTCAATTCTAAAATTTCCCCAAATTATGTTTTCCTTGCTCAGTGAATTATTTAATTCAATTAAATGTGAAAAATAAATAATTAAACCAAAAGAGAAACTAATTATTTATTTTTCAAAAATTTCAAAATGAAATATAAAGTTTTGCATTTAAAAAAATCTATGCAGGTAATATGTTTAGGAAATAACTTTAATCTGGTAAATTCGTTCATATCAATACAGCAACATAAACATGGCAATAAAGGGTTTGAATTTTGAAAAATGTAAATTAATGATAACCTGTAGATAAATCTAAGATTTATATCATGGGAATGATTATTAGAAATCCATTTTTTTCTGTGTTTTAAAGGTATATTAAATGAAGATGAAACAAGGTTGGTTTATTCATTAATTTCCGTTTCTGTGGGACAAATTTAGTCAAAATCATTAAAAAAAGATTACATTATAAGCAGAAATATTAATTGTCTTTATACAGAATTTAGCTTTTTTTTTTTTTTTTTGAGGCAACCCCTGAAAACGCGCTTACTGTCATGAGGTCCAGTTCAACATGATTGGGTACAGAACTTTTAAGGTAATTGGGAGAAAGAAAAGCCATGCAGAAATAGGATGACAGGGAAAAGATGCCTAAAATAGACAATGCATTCATAAAATCTTTGACCTTATTAGGGTTGCTGCAGTCTGATGATCCATGACTAATGGAAGACTGATCAGAAGCACATTTAGGAACAAACACCTTTTCTCCTGGGGGAAAGAAACATAAATAAAAAATGTTGTTACAGGCTGCATGGTTGCTGTACTAGTGTTTATGTTTGCATGTCACCCTCAGTGGTGGTTGGATTGTTCAGTGCTTCCATAGTAATCCCACTGTCCAGAGGCGAGCAGGTTGGAGTAACGGATCTCTGCATTGCCCTTGCTGTGTCTCTGGTTTCCCCTTTTATGCTCTGTATACTGTCCAGAGGCCTTTTTCATGAAACCAAGATATAGGATTAAGCCAGGATTTTTCACATATCGTGGCCTAATTAAAGGAATAGTGGAGGATGTTCTTTTTCTGGGTGGATCATCAAAATAAGTCCTCCTAATTGTCAATCGTTCTGGTGATATGTTTAAGTAAGGCCGTCCTACGTGCTCGTCCCCATTTTCACTTACCGGTGGTGAATCTGCCATAGTGGGAAAATTCCAAATCTTTTTTGGAAAGTTAAGCCAGACATACACTATAGGATATTTTTAATCATTGCATGCAGCTACCGCTCAAACTGTACCACGAAACCGCATGGTTTAAAAGTTTACAGCTCACAATGCACGGTCGACTGAATTTCAAACATGTTTGATTTTCTCCCAACCTTACGATTCCTGATCATTTGAATCAATTGACTGTATGATCTGGTTGAACTGTAAAGTGCATTGAGATGACTTGTGTTGTGAATTTGGCGCTATATAAATAAACTGAATTTAATTTAATTGATCGCCCCCCGTTACCCCATGTATACTACACGACGCACGATGAGGCTGAAACTCAGCCCCGTCAAATTCTCGCACAACTGGAGAATTGTTCCAAAAAGGGGGAAAAAATCATGCAGTGTATGCCGGGCTTAACCTTGTATGAGCGATGCAAACAGAAACTTTTGAACACAAGGAGAAATGGGCTCATGCACGCTCTCGCACACATTTAAATGGTAAATGGCATGTACTTATATAGCGCCTTTATTCAAGTCAGGAGACTTGACCAAAGCACTTTACACTACATTCAGTCATTCACCTATTCATATGAGGTGCCCCCAGGGACATAAATCAGAATTAACTTGCATATACACATATTAAATTACTATGAGGTGCCCCCAGGGACATAAATCAGAATTAACTTGCATATACACATATTAAATTACACTCTTCCATATAATATACTGAAAACCTCACACAAACACTAGTAAAAAGCTCTCACATAAACTAGTGAAAACATTGACCTCTTATATAATCTACTCAAAAGCTTTCATACAAAGTATGTAGTAGCGTGTATGAGAGCATTCTAATAGTGTTTATGT